TTGGATTAGAGCTAGCCAGCTGCTTCCTTCTATAAAATTTCCTCCATCCTGAGCTCTTAGCATTGAAATAGATTATTTAGTACTGAATGGAGGTTAGGGAACAGGCAGAGTTTTATGAGGGGGTATGGAAAGATTTAAGTCTGGTAATGCACACTTTCCAATATAACTTCTTGGCCTACCAAAATCATAATCCCGAAATCATGGATTTCTATATTGAATTCCTCTTTACTGAAAAACTCACAAAGAATTTCATAAACAGTGTAAAAATTTGAATAAAATTTACCAGTCTCATCTATAGAAATAGTTATATAAGTATACACGTATATGTAAAGAGCAGATGTATTTGACTATATATATTTTATGATAAGGACATGTTTATATATATCATATATACCTATGCAAATTACATAATTGCCTATGTGAAAAATGAGAGAAATAATATACCCACATACATTTTAACCTTTATAACATTTTCTCAGGTAATATAAATGGGTTCATCACTTTTGCCTTCTGGCTTACCAAGGCTGTTACTGTGAATCTGATGAAAATACAAAAGCCATTATCAGTTTTTATTTACTATATTAATTCCTTTCTTTTTCTCTTCCCAGGTACTTCCTTTCCCGAGCCAAGTGGTATATAATAGAGTTGGAAAGTGTGGGAGTCGTACTGTAGTCTTACTTTTGAGGATTTTGTCAGAGAAACATGGATTCAATTTGGTTACATCAGACATTCATAACAAAACCAGACTGACCAAAAATGAACAAGTAAGTTGATCTTGTCCTTTGTTAAATTCTGTCTTGTTTTACTTCATTCATCTAATTGACATGTGTATTTACAGAATAGTTAATAACTTACCAGACATGTATGGCAGAATTCTAATTTGATCCTGTGTTTTTTCTAGAGCATGTAAGGAAATAAAAGTAAAGAATTGTGTAGGCTTCTTTTTTTTTTAAAGAAGAAGGTTTCTCTGAAGAATTCTGATGCAGGGCACGGTGGAGAGGACCTATGGGATGTGACAAAGTCTTGGTTTAAAAGACCTGTGTTCCAGGGAACACAGGTCTCTAATATTTGCTTGATTTGTGACCTTGGGAAAATCTCTTAACCTTTCTGGTTTCCATTTTCTGATCTGTAAAACAAAGACAATAACACTTGCAACACTAAGCTTACAAGGTTGTTGTGGAATCAAATAACAAAATTTATATAAACTGTTTTATTTACCATAAAGACCTATGTAAATGTGTGGTATTATTAATTAATTTATGAAAAATGAATAGTCAGTGAGTCAGTCAGCAAGCTTTTATTAAATGCTTACTCTGTATCTGGCACTGTGTATAAATCACAAAAGATTGCAGTGCTTGTATATAAATATATGTGTGAGTGTGTGTGTGTGTGTGTGTATGTGTATGTGTGCACAATATGGCATGATCATAGCAATCCCAAGACATTTTATTCCAATATTCTACATTGGTTTTCTCTTACTAATTTCCTATATCTCTACAGATATGATGGCAAGAGAAACCTCTCTTTTCCAGCATTTCTGTTTTTTTTTTCCTTTTGTCAGACACATACCTGATAAAAGGGACAATAGGTTTAGCCCTATTGTGTTCCATTACAACGCTACCAGAAGAGAAAGCTCATTATACTGTTAAAAAATCAGCTTTTTGAGGTGTGATTGTTGTGTGCGAGCACCCCTCACTACTACCACCAGTGATGTTTATCTGACTGGCCACGCCAATCACACCCTCAGGATGGTGCAGCTAAGAAAGCACATTAGAGCTTTAGTCAACCAGAGAACCATTACCTTGGGCAACTGAGCTCTCCATGAATGAGAAACTCAATCTGTTAGCCACCTTTCTTGATTTCTTACTGTGAACAGAACATCAGCTAGATGTTTTGAAGATTTAAAAAAATAAGGAGAGAAAGACACTATGATATGATTGTATTTTATAGGATCACATTTTCAAACTCAGCCTTAAATAAGGTATTCCCTTCTCCTAGTGTACTTCGCTTTTTATTGTTTAGTCATTTCAGTCCTGTCCTGCTCTTTGTGATGCCATTTGGAATTTTCTTGGGAAAGATGCTAGAGAAGTTTACCATTTCCTTCTCCAGCTCATTTTACAGATGAGGAACTGAGGCAAACAAGGTTAAGTGACTTGCCCAGGGTTATATAGCTAGTAAAGGTCTGAGTCTGGAATTCAACTCATGAAGATAAGTCTTTCTGATTCCAAGCCTAGTGCGCTATCCACTGCACCACCTAGCTGCCCCCAGTGTGCTTTGCTAATTGGCATCAAATGAGCAGTGATAGCTGGATTATATGGTCTGTGTTCTGATCGTCACGGCATATTTGAGATCCAGATCAGAACCATGAATTTTGCATTATTTGTTACTTGGAGACTGTTCCATGGACAAAAGTCATTTTACTGGATTGTTATACTTCTGAGTGCAGCCAGGTGGATTCACCCTTAAGAAAATGTAGTCATCAAAATTATTTGTTATAAATTATTGCATTTTGTCTCTTCCCAAATTTAATGATTAAAATGCCTTTGAAAACATTCATAGAAAAATGTTTGCCCATGATATGATATCCCTATTAAAAGCCAGCAAAATATTATTTAAGTGCCATGCTTATACCTTAGACCAGGAAAGGAAAAAGAAAAATATTTTCTTTGATATTTAAGAAACATTTATTCCTAAAATAAATCTTTTTGTACAGAGATCTATCAGGTTCTCTTTGACTATTTGACCTGGTGGATGAGGAGGAGTAATGAGCTTATCCTGGTGACTCCATTTTAACAACTTAGATTAAAGGCACTGTAAATAGGGAGCATATGTTGTAATTTGTTTTATTGTTGCTCACAATTTCATTATGATTCGGTTCTAAAGCTTGAGGTTTGTTTAATAAATGTGCTTTAGGCTCAGCAATATTTAGGAAGTGCAGAGTAATTCATTATGCTTTGCAGTGGTCTGACCCTTTGTAAAACAGTGTCTAGTTATTGCTTCCAAAGCTGAAAAGAGATGTCAAGAACATGGAGAGAGCATCAAAGGTAATTAAAGGGTTGGAAAATGAGATGTCCAAGAAAAGTTAAAGGTCTGGAACAGAGAAAGCTGAGGAAAAACAAATAACAATTTCCAAGTATATCATGGTTTTGTGTTGGGTTTTTTTTTCTTCACATAGACAGTGATGACCAGCTGTTCTCCATTTCCTCTGAGAACCAAAGGAGGGGAAATAAAAATAAAATTAAATTGACAGTATGAGGGACTTAGCTTGGATGGGAAGATTAACTTAAAGCCAGGAGGATTATTAAATACTAGACAGGACTTAGAAGGTGGTTTTCTTAAAAAAAAAAAAAAAAGGTAGGTTAAATTTTCATGTTTGAGATGTTTTAGGTGTTGTCTATCTAGTGGCTAGAAAGATAGAGAAAATGTTCTCTTAAGGTTTTTTCCAGCCTTATGATTCTGTGATATGTGTGTGTATGTGTGTGTGTGTTTATTTCAAGAGAGAGACAGAGAGCTATAGATAGATAAATATAGATATACACACATATGTACTATATAACTCAAATGACTGATTTTTGTGGCCAATACAACTTGGCATAGATTTTCTTACATATTTATTCTAAAATCCCAGTATATTTCAAGGCAAGTTATGAAAACTATGAGAGCTAACAATAAGGTAGAAAATATAAGTTCAAAATGTCAACTGAAAAACAGAAAGATAAGAGTAGATGTTCCTAAATGGTGGACAAGCTATGTCTGGTATTTTACTGCAGTGACTGCTATTGTGGAGGGAAGAGAAGGGTGGATGGAGAAAGTTGGAGGTGACAAGGAGCCAAATGAAGCTTTAAATTATTTCGTTATCTTAATAGAGATCTTCTTGGCCACGCGTGCATCTATTTCCTATAAAATCAAGGCAAAAACAAAAACAAGTAAAAGAAATACAATTTTAACCATAAGTAGCCAGAGGAAATTATCTTTGCCATAGAAATATATACTGCTCCTGCTCATTTATTAAATGATTAAGTTTTTTGTTTTGTTTTTTGTTTTTTTTGGAGGGGGCGGTATAGGTGGCGTAGCCAAAGTTCTTCCATAATTGTTGGTAGATATTCTCCCTAAAATGTTTTGAGTGAATGAATTAGCACTTTCAAAGTGTGATATCATTTAGGTTCTTCATTAAGACAATATCAAGTTCAGTCTTCCATTACTCACTGGCAAGCAACTACCCTTAATAGGAAAATGGTATTTCATTTTTAAAATATTTTTAATGGGACAGTATACTAAAGAGATCGTTAAAGGGGAAGCAAGAGTGAAAAAGGTGAAATGTTAGCAGGATGGTAAAATTCCATTACTGCTGACCTTATAGGAACATAAATAACCTTTCCAATTCACTTTGTGGGAAACTGCATTAGCACAGCAATATGGGCTATTTCTGGCCAAGCCATAGACCTGCACTGCATAGAATGCAAATTCTATAATAGCAAAGTTCATTATGACATCACTTCAATATGAGAATTCAATTTAACAACCTTCAGGAAATAGAATTTGATGAGTTTGAGGAAATTCAGAACAGTGGAAAGAATAGTCTCTAAAGTCAGAACACCTGAGATAAAACCTTACCTGTGATATTTGGTTTTGTGTAAGTTACTTAACTTTCCTTGGGTTCAGTTTCCTCATCTGTAAAATTATGAGATTTTAGTGGATAACTTGTGAGGTTCCTTGTAGATTTATATCATGGGTAGGGAACCTGTGGCCTCAAGGCCATATGTGGCCTTCTAGGTCCTTGGGTGCAGCCTTTTGATTGAGTCCACGTTTTACAGAACAAATCCTTTTATTAAGGGGATTTGTCCTGTGAAGTTTGGATTCAGTCAAAAGGCCACACTTGAGGACCCAGAGGGTCACATGTGGCAGTTCCCCACCCCTGGTCTAGATCTAGGATCCTGAGAAAACATATGGACCTTTTTCAAGACATAATTCCTGGTTACAAAAATGTACATAGAAAAGTTGAAGACTTCTTTTCAAAGTAATGCTGTGTGCCCAACCATGATTCCAGAGGACTAATAATGAAACATGCTACCTGATGTCTTGTCAGAGAGGTAAAAAAAAAAAAAGAATCAGACTTTTTTTCAGGATATGGGCAATGCAGAAATTCATTTTGCTTGGCTATGCATGTTTGTAATAGGGTTTTATTTTTCTTTCATTCTCAGTTGGAGTTAAGGTGTTGGTGTAGAGGGGAGAGAAAGTGGATTTTTGCTGATTGAAAAAAATAAATTTCAAAGTAATGCTGTAAATATAATAAAGGTGAAATGGCATGAAGTATATTGCAGATTATTTCATTTCTAGAGGCAGTGATTTAAGCTAAAGTGTCAATGACTAAATGCTTGACTTTTTTCTCTATATGAGTGAGTGCGGATCTTAAACTGAAATCACCCTTTGTTGAATCATCCAAGGTATTATTTCACTAGAAATTTAAATTTGCTTCTGCTATAACTCAGCAACTGCTTAAGCTATCAAAGTTATATAAATTGTTCAAAGGGTGGGAGTTGAGGATCTTTTAACATAAATTCTATGTTGAATTAGTTTTACAATGATTGAAAAATTAGGGTTTTTTTTAATACTACTCTCCTCCAATGCCCTGCACTCCATTGGAGTAAAACTGTGTCTATGAGATATGACAATAAAGTAAAAAAAAACTTTTAAAAAGAAATTAATCAGGCATACACATTCATATCATAAAATATTAGATTGGAAAGAACTTGAAAGTTCATCC